CGTCTTTTTCTGAATTTTCATTTTCCATCGAATTTTTTAGTAGATGCTGTAATAAATGTTGCTGGTTCAGCTTATCACTACTCGTATGGACTTACGTCTTTGCCTTGATCGTCGGCTCAAATATCGCCGGTTGTCGAAAAAGATTTTCCAAAGAAGGTAGGGTAGGTTTTCTGCTGTAATCAAGCCATGATGCCATTACTATACTCCACTGCTGGACACTACGTGTTTCACAGGCTTTTATTTTTGGTTCGACTGTGGAGAAAATCCAATCGCCAACGGTTTCAAAAATGTACGCGTTTCATATGAGTTGTTTCAAGTTTGGGAGCAAATCTCGCTTTTTCAGTTCATACACGTCAATTCTTGTGTAGTTCCATGTGTAATGGCTCTCATGTATATTGCCATCTATTTCAAACTCAAATGTGCAGGGAAGGGCTTACACGCTCGACATTCTCAAAGTAGAGAGATCAACTATCTAATGCAGGTAAACCGCAATCCTTACTATACAGAAACTCCACTTTTTCAGTGTTGGATGTACACCTCAAATAATACCGACAGCTATAAATCTAGTGAATGTCGAGAATCTATTTGTCGCAGTACAAACAAATAAGAGGCCTTCTTTATACGGAACTCTCAAAAATTCAACGTATTCACAAACGCGGCAGAGATTGAAGCTCTGGCTTGTTTATGCACTAGCCGGAAATGTGCCGTCCTGAGATTCAAGCCCTCTTTCTCGAACATCTTGCCTTTCCACTTGATTTCATCTTTTAACACATTGAGGAGAGAGCGCTTCATCTATGGTTTGCGATTTGAAGGAGGAGAGTTTGTTGACCCTTTAACACGTTGACGACCGTCGTTATGCACGTACTGCTTCAACATTTTTGTATTCTCTCATCAATAGGCATTAATCCTTCAGCGTTTTCATTCATCAGTAATGAAAAAACTGTTTTTCGGATCCAATAATGTACATGGACCGTTGTAGAACAGAAACAAACGCCAAAAAATTAAGGAAAAGTAGTCTGCTCCATGTGAAAGTGTGGAGTGACATCATACCACACTCTCGTTAATGTCTACGAACCATGCCTCTTTTTGGCGTGCCCTACTCGCGCTCTATCCTAAGCAACTTGCTCCTATAAATAGTTTTTCGATCAAATATGTCACCACAGAGGTATACCTATATGACTGCAGTTTTGAGCTTTCATATTACATATTTTTGGAAAAACAATTAGACGTTTGGAAGGTGGATTCTGAACATAGATAATAGATAATAGATATTATGGAGCTCGCTTGTATTGGGTTACATGTTGTTTCGCTATGTGATGCAAAAAAAACAAAAATGCAAAATTCGAAATACTACTACGCAATATCCTCCAAGTCCGCCTTTCTTGAAACCTGGGCATTTGGTTTTAAACAGTTGTATAATCTTTTTGTGCCACACAGGTTTTGTACGATGGAATCTTTATTGGGCTTGACGTTTCGACTAGCTCGTCGTTATCAAAAGCCTGAAAGCGTCATACGGCATTCAAATTGTTACCTATCCGCTCGTGACCAAGTGGCACCCAAGCTAATGAATCAAGGAGTGAAAACCCCAGGAATGTGTCACCTACCTTGACTCCACCAGCGTCACCGCTTCTGGATCAGCAGCTTCCCTTGATGGTCTCCAGATACAGTAAAATAAAATGAGACAACCAGTCGTGCACTGCTTATAAAGAGTGTACGTGCAGTGCATGACGTTCTCATTATCATAGTTCACAGAGGGTATATAGGGTAAGAAGTCAGCAGTCCTTGTATGAATAACAGAAACGAATGCATCTCCATAACTGCTG